GTAATGGAATATATGTGATATTAAACGGGAAATCATTAAATATCTTTCATATTACGTAATGTTCAATGAAAATATATTATATTAAAAGGGAAACAATTTAATATCTTCTTTATTATATAATTTAATGGAATAAATATGATATTAAACTAAAAAAAACATTAATATCGTACATGTATTTCATGAACCTTGCAGAATATAGATGACATTCAATGGTTTGCTGGTTAGTATCACATTTATTTTAATAACAGGAAATAATAAACAGGAACTGTTTTTTCCGTATTATTTAATTATTTTGCACGCAAGTATATATATCTTTATTTTTCAAAATTAGCGCGCACTCATGGAAAATTTCAATGTACGGCATTTTTTCGTGATGTTCTATAATTTTGTAAATTTTCTGGTAAGAATTGCTTAGAAAACTGTTTAGAATATCTCATTAGGGAAACCCGAGCTGTGCACGGCAAAATATGATGAAAAACTCATTTCTTAAACCTTCATTTCATTTCGGTCGGAACAAAATTATCGGCAAATTTCAATGCATCTCTCTCATTGGTCAAAACTATAAATGACATGTCATCACTGGGAAAAGATTTTTTATCATAAATTGATGAAATAAGTTTCCATGAAATTGATAAATTTCTGTATTTGCAAGGTAAATGTAATATATGTCTTAATCATTTAAAATGGAAAATGTAAAAATGGATTATGTGTATTCGAAATCGTACCACGTGACATTTGTTGACGAAAAAAATAGTTAAATTCTGACAAAAACATCGAGGTAGACATATGATGTCGAGATGTATGCTGTAGTGTTAATTACCACAGGGTCGTCTTTTGTTATTTAGGCTGTAAAATATGATCGCGGTAGACATCTGAAAAATGTGTTATTTAGAAGGATACTCAGAATCCTGTGTAGGATAACATAGATCCAGTATCAGAAACTAACAAAAACTAAACTAAATTTTATTAACTTTGTTTCCATTTTTTTAACCCCTTTTATCACGCACAACAAGTATTTATACAATTCAACAAGGAAACAACAAATTACCGTCTTGGTTTTAACAAACAACTGCATGTAAAAGACAACGGAAGCGTCATTGTTCCGCAATTTAGGAGCCAAAAAAGTACACTTCAGCAAACGAACCACCGGAACCCGTTCTATTACGAGTCAGGCCGATTCGTACCGATACAACTGGTACGAACCCGGAACTCATGGTATGTATTTCAGTGTATCGTGTTGTTCTACGCCTGCGTTTAAGTCAAATTCCTTTTTGTTTATCATAGGTTGACGTCAGACAATGTTTGATGATTTCGTAACACCACTCTGTAACCTTCATAAGTTGGCTGCAGCTATTTCCGGTGACTTACCGACACGACAATGGGTTGTGTTATATACATATTTATTTACATTATGTCTTTAGAATATGCAAATTGAGACAATATTTTTACCCACATTAGTATAAAATTCATATATATCTTCATCTGGTTAGGGTTATCGGGTTTGAAGGAAGGCAACGTCAAGCCTTCCTTAAAACCTGATAAAGTGACATGGTGTATCTGGTGTCAGTGTGACCTCCAACAGAGTGCGCAGCCTTTTTGACGCTGTTCGTCTTTGAACCTAACTGCACAAATTAACATAGCAAGGCATTGAGTTTTAAATCGTAATTTATTAATTACATGAAATGTGTTAATTACAGTGATATCCATCTTTATCATTGAAAGATTGTACAAAAGACACACAAGTAAACAGCACCTTAAAATACAACTTTAGAGGAAGAAATTGAAGAGCCAAACAATGATATAAACAACATCAAACAGCTGTTTTGTCCCTCTAGGATTCGTCGGTGATACTACATCAAATAGCTGTTTCGTCCCCCTAGTATTCGTCGGTAATACTAATGACCCACATATTAAACCTAGGAGGCGACTGAGGAAATCTCCACGGTGATCGAAAGAAATATTTGTCTACGAATATATAAAAAAAATACACGAAAACTCACAACGGGGACTTGTTTGTATCCTATTTGAAATACTTCTTTTATTAATGGATGTGGATTTTTAAAAGCCCATGATCCCCGAAGAGAGCCTATCATTACTATACCGTGTCTGTCTTACTGAATAATATATGCTTTTCCAAAACAGACTGCTTTGTATTAGATTGTTGATATCTATGAACACAGGTAACGTAAAACTACATATTTTTAGCTGAATCTTCCGTATTGCGTTCAGATATGAAAATGATAATTACAGTTTCTATATGTTGTTTCTATAGTAATTATCGGGGTTGCATGAATTTATCTTCGCGCTAATTTAGCAAAAAGCTGATTATGCTATAAGCATTGTGCCAAATTCAGTACGTTTACTGTGTTTTTATGTAAAACCGCCTTGTTTCTGTGGATGAATAATTTAAAACATGAAATATCGACTCATTGGTTGTAGTGTTTATAGAGTGGAGTGGTATACAGTTCTAGGTGACTTAGTACAAAGGGACACATTTCATATTAGTGATGTGGCCAAGAAGTGCGGACTATGGACTGGAAGAAAGTAAAAGTACCAGTTGTACGTTTATTGGTCTGAGTACCGCCGGATGGGCTTATTTCTGAGAATCGCATGATTGATTGAAATTTGAGTACTAGTAACTGCTTCTAGTTTAAACATATTTTATTGCCAATGAAACAAGACAAATGGTTTGGGCACAAGTTATATCAACATTATCGACGCCTTCTATATTAGATTTTAAGGCAATGGCATACAAGAACAAAATAATGAGGTATGATATACCTGTAACAATTAATATATCATTATAATTTTATACAAAGCTGGTTTCTTATCTTAAAATGTAAATCTATTGCTGGACCTTATGTAAATTTGCACTAGATTAAAGATATGTTCATTAAGTTTAAGTTTAACTGCTGAGTGTTCTAAGATATAGGTATGTCTATACGGAGTTAAGTCTGATTACAGTCGTAATATCACTAGGTTGACTTAAGTCTGATTACAGTCGCAATATCACTAGGTTGACTTAAGTCTGAGTACAGTCGTAATATCACTAGGTTGACTTAAGTCTGAGTACAGTCGTAATATCACTAGGTTGACTTAAGTCTGATTACAGTCGTAATATCACTAGGTTGACTTAAGTCTGAGTACAGTCGTAATATCACTAGGTTGACTTAAGTCTGATTACAGTCGTAATATCACTAGGTTGACTTAAGTCTGAGTACAGTCGTAATATCACTAGGTTGACTTAAGTCTGAGTACAGTCGCAATATCACTAGGTTGACTTAAGTCTGATTACAAGTCTGAGTACCGCATGGCCAGTTAAAATTTGAGTATCTGTTGGCTGTACTAAAATCTAAGTATCACTAGGTTAATCTAAGTCTGGGTACCGCATGGCCAGTTAAAGTTTGAGTATCTGTTGGCTGTACTAAAATCTAAGTATCGTTGGGTGGGATAAAACCTGAGTATTGTTGGGTGGGATAAAACCTGAGTATTGTTGGGTCGACCTAAGACTGAGTACTGCAAGATATCATTACTGCTGGTTAGACTTAAAGCTGAGTGCTGTTAGGTGAACTTTAAATCTGACGCTATGCTGAGTTACGTTTGAGTACTGCTCTGTTGACCTGTTTAAATTCGAGGATTGAAGTCCGAGTTAGTTGGATGTCAGTGTGAGAAACGCTGGGTGGATTTAAGTCTGGATATCGTCTTTGTCGACTGCAAGTTTGAAAATCTAAACACAAAAAGAGAAAACTTTTGTTCAGTATCTCGATCCAACTCCGAGACAATGAGCGACTTTCTCGAAATTTGTTCAGTATAACAGCTACATCTCTGTCGAACAACCTACACTATGTTATGCCCGGGTACTCCCGGGTTTCCTCCCACAGTAAAACCTCTCGCACGCTTCCATCCGGACTAACAAGAGTGATTAATATAAGTTGTTAACTTGTTTAGTCATTGTTATAAAAGAAAAATCTTATCTTTGAACTCCAAATCAAATTGTGTTACATCGTATGGGATGTGTTGTACTATACGTGTGGGCCTACTTTTGATACGATACCCTAGGTGGTGTTTTCACTTCTGTCCAATTTTATGTAAAACATTAGTCAAAATGTTTATATCAAGCGTTAACCTTTAAGTGGTATGGCATTTATAATTATTATAAATGACAGACAAACAAACAATATACATCATATCGTGCGCTGTACTAAATACACTATTTATTATGACGATGTAAGGATCGTTCAGTTTATAACCTTCGGCTTTCGGGAAAAATAGTAACTTTTGTAATGAATCCGTTACAAGGACGAATTTAATTTCATAAGCTATATTTTTGTTACAACATATATCCTTCAACTTTATTATGTTAAGGTCTAGGAGTTTTTGGTCATCTGGCACAAAGGGCCTGTAGCATATTTTTTGCTCTAGTAACAAATTTTAACTGTGGAAATCATAATCAACATAACAGCCTTTTACGCTGGGGACGTAGAACTATTTTCCAAAGTCTGCTCTTTTTCCGTCTGCTAATAACAATACCATGCCACGACTCAAGAAACTCGCAGTAAACTCTTATTCTCAACTTTATTTTGGTTTCAGACTTCAGCTTTGATCAACTAACACCTGACACCAGACACAGTCGGCGTACAGCGGCGACTGTTATCTTTAACCGATACATCTGGTTCTTCCTTACGTCACTCTTGATACTACCTCACCTTTGACCTTTCGGCTGAGTGTCCGCGTGAGTGATGAAGACAATGAATTCTGTGTGCCCTAGCCGTGACATACCAAAATCGTTTGTAATTCGAGCTTCTAGTTCTGATAAGTTCGTTTTCATGTAATGTGACCGAATGGTATGTCATTCTACAAGTCTTCAAGCTATGATATTTCATTGTGATGACACTATAAAAGCGCCTATACTTGCCACCATCATCAATGAACAGCGTCCTTATACATGTACGAGTCCCGCTATTGTGAAATCATCGACACAAATAACAACACACAACAAGTTATCTTGATTTTTTTACTTTTTGAAACAGGAAGAAGACAATACCGTCATAAGGTTATGATACATGCACTAATTATTTCAAAATTGTGACAGAAACAGTAAAAAGAATTTACGCTAGGCAACACATACCATCAAAATTGTTCTTGAGTTGTGATATAGGGATGACATATCATTATAGTCTTATCAATTAGTAAGACTCGTTTTTATATAAAACTATTCAACATCACATCACTTTCCAAATCCATACCCCGGGCCATAACTCACCAGGCAATACATGCAGTAAGCATATGTCGCCATGGTTGGTAAAAATGTTCCGGCAAATCCGTATGATCTTTTCATCGGTTCGATCTGGTATCCAATTTTGTAGATGATTCTTGAGACGACGAAAATGACGACGAGTAATGGTATCATTTTCATTGACTCAGCAGAGAGGTAGGTACACAACACGATTTGTCCTACGAAATTAAAGATGAACTGTTCCAGTGTATTCTGTAATATGTTCCTAGGCAACAGCGTTAGATGTTCGGCATTTCCTTTTATGGGGTCCGCCGCGGCATCGCTTTGACCCCGAACACCCATCACTCCCATCATTCCCATCAGCAAGGTAAACCCTCCGAGGAGTTGCCATCTCAATGTGAAAATGACTCTTTCTGTGATGGATTCCATCACCGGAAGTTTGAATGGAAAGAAGTTATATCCAACCAAGAAATAGACGATGATGGCCGCAATGCTTGTTCTGAACCGGAAGTTAAAGTCTGACTTCCGGCTTTCGGACCATTCCTTTGTTGCATTCTTGGAAGACATTCTGAATCCTATGACGCTACGACCTGGCGGCAAAACATCATAATATTAGATATACGAATCAACAATATAGATACTTAATAGTAGATGAAATAAGCAATTTAAATCAGGTGTGAAGCGAGACAACTCTTGATAAAAATTACAGACTATATTGTGGAAAGCAGCATAAATTGTATTTGATCAGGAAATCACAGGCGGGGCTGTGTGAACATTTAGCAAGGTTTAGGATTTGCATCCGTTTCTTTCTTTCTTTCTTTGTGTGGGGTTCAATGTCGCAACAAGGTGATTAGAGAAAGAATGCTTATGATGACACCAACAGAAGTAAAGGCACAGAAAAACAGAAAGATAGAGAAACCAGGGAAAGGGGGAAATATAAAACTCCCGAGCATTTCAATGGGAAAGCATATTAATAATTGCACCCTTAACATAAATTGAAGAATAAAACTTCGACTTTTGAAGAGTTATTATGACATTCTGAACGGCCCGTCAACACATAAAAGGTCATTAGGGCGGCCATCTTTGGAAGAGACCTCACAATTAGAGAAAAAAAAACGCATCCATGTTATTTCACCCTTCCTGCCTAGGTGATTTGCTTTCATTGACATTGCATTGGAACAAGTGACTGTAATAAATACGTTTCCTCAACTTTCTGATCTGAGGTCTGATTTTCTTCCTAATAATGAAAACTAAAAACATTTTCATGCTTACTATCAAGTTGCAGTATGCGGCATAATATCGCGATACCGTATCTAAGAGCCGACTTTTCAAATTGATAACATTAAGTAATTTTGAGGTTACTAATAACAACGTATTGTCCTAAGATAATACTATGACGAAAATCCTACCCGAGGGTTCTAAATATAAGTTCAATATTTAAATGAAATGGTATACCTCGATATGTTGAATGTTCAGGAAGTGTTTTAATCCAATAAATCAAATTTTCATTTCAGAACATTTCGTTGTCTAAATCTTGACAACAAAAGGAGTTGAGCGACAGGTATAGCCTATGAAAGCCCTCAAAATAACTTGTTCCTGTTTCTGAAAGGGAGATCTGAAACGAACATACTGTAATCACATCCCTAGGTGTGACCGTTTGGGAACCACCAGTCGATGGATGAGTAAGTAAAGTTACACAAAAGTTTAAGTAATAACTCTGAAGAGTATACGTAAGATTATATAAACGTCTTCAAACAAGAACGATTTCGCTACTGTCTTTTCAAAAAAATTCTTATTTGCAAATTACAAGCTTGTTTGCTTTTGTGTTTATAAAACTTCGCTGTATTATTCAGTAATTTATAACCTAAATAAGACAATAAGAAGAGATAGCAAGCTTAACAACAAAATTTTGTGTCTACAAAGTTTTGGTGCATCATTGAACAAATGACAACCAAAACAGGTAAAAACACAATAATAAGAGTCGCAAGGGGCCTGTATGGTCATCTGCCTAAAGACCTGTATACAATCGAGGTCAATAGGTCTAAATTAATTAACAATTTACAGCTAACAAAGAAGATATTTTTGGTCCATAAAAACATTTTCTGTAAACTTGAAATCCTGTTCCTTATACGTGTTACTACACAAAAACCATGACCCCGGGTCTATTGCTTGTTGAAAGAAAAAAAATAAGATCTCAACACATTTGACCACAGACATTTTGAAGTTGGTCAGGAACAATCATTGAATAAAATCGATAGCCCTTTATCTAATGTTAAAGAATTACATCAATATCAATAGTCTGTGCATTTTGGTTATTGAAAAGAAGTCGTTTACACATTTTAACATATTTGGCCCTGTGACCTTTTAAAAAGGTCAAGGTCAATCATCTGAACGACCTTGATAGCCCTATATTCCCATCATTGCAACAAGTTCAATGTCAACACCTTGGGTCTTTTGGTTATTGAAAAAGTAGTCGTTAAATCATTTTAACACAATTGAACTCTGCCACCTTCAATATGGTCAAAGTCATTCACATAAACAAACTTGGTACCCCTTCATCTCTGCTGGATGCATGACAATATCAGCATTCTGGGCATTTTGGTTCTTGAGAGGAAGCCGATTAAAGATATTAACTCATTTCACATTTGTGACCTTGAAAGTGAGACAATGTAATTCATTTAGACGAACAGAACCAGTATAGGCATCCTGGATCTTTTGGTTACCGAGAAAGTTTTAACATATTTAACCCATGTCACCTTGAAAAATGGTCAAGGTCATTCATTTTAACATACTTGGTAGCTCTTCATCACCGCATGCTGCAGTCCCAATATCAGCACCCTGGGCATTTTTATTATTAAGAATTAGTTGTTTGAATGGAAAACTTACGCATGGCGCACGACGTCATACTGACCCGTCCGTTTAGATCAGAGACGTATATAATATATACGTATATAATATATACGTCTCTGGTTTAGATAGCTTAAAATAGAGATGGATAGTTTAGAAATTATTAACGTCATCTCCCTGTGAAGTGTTGTTTCCCTGTTACATGTAAATTATACTTATTTATCTGTTAACGAGTATCAGTGTTAAACATTCCTCCGTAAAAACAACGTGAAATGTCCAGCTGACATTTTCATGTATGGAGACCTTTGAACATTGGATTTGGTGACATGTAATATTGTTTTGTGTGATCAGACATATTTACTGTTAGCAGGTAGAATGAAGGACACTCGTTCCATATTATCACATCTCATCCTGACCTTGTCTAGATAAATAATGACACGCCAATGCTATGTCAGTGTAGAGAAATAAGGTCTATTTATTAAGCGAATTAATGTCTGATCACTTTAAGGATGTATGCTACCTTTCTATACGTCACTTTCCAATTGCAATACATCATACATAAACTTGTCAGTAATTATTTTGTTTTCTATTACAGTTTAAAGGAATATAACATTGTATACACCATTCTTACTTAATTGTAGTAGACAGGGCGTAGCTAGCCCAGCAGAAATATGTAAGCCCAGGCGAGGGGTCTGGAGGCCGCCCCCAGAGGGTCTAGATCAGGGCCCTGGTGGGGGGATCAGGGGGTGAAGCCCCCCGACGGAAAATGAATTTCATGATTTCAAAGATGTTTTGAATCGTTTTCTGTGACAGTTTTTTTTATATTTATTTAACAACAAACTTTCAACCCCTGACTAAATAAAAGCTAACTTTCTGTTCTTTTGATTCGATAAAATGTCCATGACGATTTCCGTATCTTGGTTACATGTACCTTTGGTCTTTGATGTGTCACTTTTAATGTTTAATGTGGTCACTCGATTCAACTTTATTTTGTTTCAAAATCTTGTCGATCGACTTCTGCAATCCAGAAGCCTTCTACATTTTGAAAATTTGCACTTTAACAACATTATAATCGGAAACGTTGAAATGATAGTAAGAAGTAGGACAGTATGACGTGTATAAAGTTCCGGAAAGCAATGCACTAGGCCTAGTCATTCAACAGTTTTCTATTTATATTTTTTTAATTATCAAAAATATTGGTTATTTATTTTCAACATTAGTTTTGTAATTTTGTCCGACATACTCTATGCACGGATTTTTTATGTGTAAGCCTGGGGTTTTTCTTTCTACGCTACGCCCCTGGTAGAATTCTCTAATAAAACCCCCATTTAACTTCGCAGATTTGCCGTAGGACGACCAGTTTTGCTGTATACACAGACAATATCCACAATTGGTCACAATAGATTTCAATAGAACAGCACTATCACTCGTATCTCCACAGGTAACTGTATTACATATCTACCTCACTTTATCAACCATTGCTCGCGATCGACCCAGTTTCTGATCGGAACACCTTAACTATTGTAGATACCGGTCTCAGCGAGATATTTATTTCTTATATACAGAATTTTAATCACAAAGAAATAGGGTCGACGTTTCACTTAAAAATCGTTTGTGTGCCTATGTACTAGGTCCGTTGTCGACATGCCGGTGTTTATTTAGTCTCATACTGTATGTCTTACATGTATCTTGTCCATGTATCTAAATCTCAACTCTTATAGACTTACAATTATTATTATTACTGTTACAATTGGTAGCGAACTATGACCGATTTTTGAACATAAAACAGTTTAAATGTCGATACTAGATAATCTCATTTCCGAAGTTTTGTTTATGGAGAAATATATCGTGCAGTCACAGGGGTAGGAAACATTCACTTATACATACACCCTTAGAAATTGTTCTCTTTCTTATTTATTTATTTATTTATTTATTACAAGTCCCTGCGGTCTAACATGTAAACATGTGAACGCTATATACCTAGATGTGTACTCATGTAGGCACATCTGCTGTCGACATGCCTCCATAAAACCAGAACATAAATGTCAGTGTTGGTATTTTGATTGGTAAGAAATAGACGAAAGAGTATGCAGAAATTTGAATAATTAAATTGAATATTAATTGAAACAGTGCATTGAAAACAGATATAAATTGTTGAGTAATTTACCTTGCTGACTCGAGCTGAAGGGAACCCTGCAAGTTTTCTGTTTAGCTGCGGCAGTGAAACTCACTATCTTCGTCGCTTGTAGCGTTAGCGTACTAAATTTTGACCCGACCCAAAGTGAGGTCGATTTGAAGGACGATGTGAGGAGAGGTAGATATGTATAACATGTACATACAAGCATTGGAGAAATCAGACATGAATTTGTAAAAGGTCGATAAGATTAATTCTAGAAGGAAATTGGGTAAATATCTGGATATGAGTGTGCATCGTCTGCAATCATCGTGGTTGTTAATTAACAGCCTAAATATCACCGACCTGAATCATCTTCGAATTTGATACCACAGCCAGGACATTTGAGTCTGAGGTCATAGGTAGCATTTTTACCGGACAGCTGAAAATGTTAAATAACAATTATTTCACAATATGTATAAACTTAATATTAAATCCGATCTCCAAAAATGCTCTGTGACAGGTATTTAGTGAATTTGTCCAGGTTTATGGAATATGTTTTTATCCCTTTTAATACCGGCTAACAGGCCCTAGTTTTTCAAACAGACGGTCAGATATAATTACTGGTTAATTAGATAAATAAACATGATTTTAAAAAATCGTTATCATTTCACAGACGTGAGTTTGTTGTGACAGGTCACACTGCTGTAGTTTGAGTGTTTTCTTGTTTTTGGGGGTTTTTTTTTGTCTTTCACTCTCTTCTTTAAATGACTATCATGTGAAGCTTCACTAACTGCTGGTTAAGTCGGTCTAACCTTTGGCATTCTTAATTACATATTAGGACTGGTCATGCTAGATAAAATGTTTAAAAGAGCTTTCTACATTCCGTACAAACACCATTGGAACTAGGCACGATACTGTACAGACAATATTAAAATTAGACATGAAATTAATACTGTTGCATTGCGAAATTCGTCCTTCCTGAATTCCAAATTCGGATCAGAAAAAATCACTTTGTTCTCTGTTATTTGGCAAAATTTACAAAGGTTCGTGTTTGTTTCTTGTCTCAGTGGAAAGACTGCGATCATAAACACGCTGAAGTTTCAGTAAGTAGAACAGTTTGGATTCGATTGTGTTACAAAGACAGTACACAGTCATATTGTCGTACCGTACTGCTAACTGTACATTGGTCAAGGTTATACTGATTTGTGTCTAATAATTTAAAGTTAGCTCTGTTAACAGAACAGGTATTACTAAAACAGGCCACAAAAACCTTGTAGTCCTATATCTATGTACGTATATCAATAACAAAAAAATGTTGATGCTGTCAATCAATTCTTTACTGAGTTATTAACTGTAACGGCGGAATCAGAAATACTCCTATTTCTGTAGTTAACACTAAAATGTGGTTACATATATACAATGTAGTAATTATTAATTTTAATGACGAAATTCATTGCTTTCCTAGTCCGTATCCAGCACCGTATGTTACAAAACAGTAAAGACAGTAGCCACACGTTAGTATGGTAGGCGGAAGTGTTGAGGAGAATCCGTATGCTCTCACCATTGGTTCTTTCTCGTACCCAATCTTGAACACGATTCTTGCAACAACAAACAAAATAATTAGCAATGGTATTACTTTCATTGATTCTCCTGTAAGGTAAGTACACATGATCAGCTGAGCAACGAAGTGGAACAGATATTGTTCCAGTGTGTTTTGTAGAATGTTTTGAGCAAGTTTTGTGAGTTGTTGCCCTTTAGGATCCATAGGATTGGCAGCTGAGTCGTGTTTCTCCCGTATGGACATCACGCCTGCCATTGCCATAAATAAGGTTAGTAACCCAAACAGTTGCCATCGCAACGTAAAAACCAGTCTGTCGACGACGGAATCCAGGACCGGAAGTTGGAAAGGGAAGAATTTGTAACCAATCAGAAAGTACAATGTAGAGACGCTTAAACCAGTCCCCACGCGGAAATACCAGTCCGAGGATCGGCTTTTGGTCCAATTAGAGGGCGCCATAATCTATCTTTGTTTTTGGTTTTATTTTTTTCTTTCGAATTCCTACAAAGACAAAAGTGACGATTAAAAATAGAAATCGATATGTGTTTAACTTTGATGTGTATTATCTTGTTACAAAATGGCTACTAGTGTGAGGAAAGACGCCGTACGGAAGAGCAGCACAAACTCAACACAAATGGTATAATGCCATTTACAAAGCTCGCGTCTTTATCATTTCAACTTCCGGTCTTCCAGATTTGATTGGACATTAGAATATACTATCATTTACATATGTACACCAAGACTTGGCACAAGTTACATAATTATAAATTAGGAAGCCATCGTTCTAAAGATTATGATACATAAGAAGTTATTACAAAGATAATATATAATCTTTGTGACCATTTTCAGGGTTGTAAATCTGTTCGAGAATTAGGAAAGATTGTGCGTAATCTTATAAGATTATTTGACGCCCGGGACAGGGAGAAACGAGACCTCAATACAAATCTGCTTTTTAATGGAAAAAAAATATCACTTAAAAAATTCTGCAATCTTAAGAATAATCAAATTCAAATGTCATGAACCTATGGCAAAATAAAGACAAAGGAAACAAATACGGAGATTACTGAGAGATGTAAACGGATAACAAGACCAAGTATTTCGGAAGGGTAAGCGTCTTCTGCTTCGTCGGCGATACCCGCCATGTAAATTTTGGTCACTCTAGTAAGTAATACAGAATTATTTTTTCTTCACGTCCTTTTTTTCACTCTCTTTCTAATACTTTGTCTCAATGGCTGTTTTATTGATCAAACCAGTATTCTGAAGATTCGATTGTTTGGTAACCCAAGTTTCCGTTAACAAGAATGAGATTAAATCTGTGTAACAAGAGCATAACTCATGTGGTCAAACGTCCAGTCCTATTCATGGGTGATATCTCTATCCGTTCATTCTGAGGACTATCTGCTCCTACGTTACTATATATAGCGTTTGTGGTCACCGTTAATAGTGAAGACGAATAACATAAACCCGGGACATGAATCTGTGACGTGGATACCCTGTCGTATCTGTATATATACCGATATGTCTTACATACAAAAGTCTGCGTTAACTAAACTACGGATATATATATGTAGATATATTAAAACAAAACTTACCTTTGATGTAAAGATCTTTGAGGTAAATCAGTAGAAAAATGGATTTTATGACAGCTTATCGACAAGGAACACACATGTACTCCAATTGTACATTTGTTGACCAAACTATGTGCATGACCTACAGCTATATTTAGAACAATGTAAATAGTATCGGCACCACAGGGGCCTGTAACAATATTCAGTGGGAGGGGGGTTTGTATGGTATACTATCACAGGGGTCTGTTTCAATGTTCTGGGGGATGATGGCTTGCATGGTGTACTATCACAGGGGCCTGTTACAATATTCTGGGGGAGAGGGGCTTGGTTGGTATACTATCACAGGGGCCTGTTACAATGTTCTGGGGGAGAGGGGCTTGCATGGTATACTAGCACATGGTGCCTGTTACAATGTTCTGGGGGAGAGGGCGTGTATGGTTTACTATCACAGGGGCCTGTTACAATGTTCTATGGAGGAGAGGGCGTGTATGGTTTACTATCACAGGGGCCTGTTACTATGTTCTATGGAGGAGAGGGCGTGTATGGTTTACTATCACAGGGGCCTGTTACAATGTTCTATGGAGGAGAGGGCGTGTATGGTTTAATATCACATGGGCCTGTTACAATGTTCTATGGAGGAGAGGGTGTGTATGGTTTACTATCACAGGGGCCTGTTACAATGTTCTATGGAGAAGAGATTATATGGTATGTAGATATATGATCATAACAAAGCCGATGGGTTCGATTTGTTTACTTTTATTAAAAGAGAGAGAGATTAACACGTATCGTGTATTAATGTTACACACGACAGCACAGATGACAACACATAATTCTGTCACCACAATAGCAGGAACAAATGCTAGAAATATTCAAAGACAGTCTTACTGACAAAAGAATTCAACCGTTCACTCGAATAGAATTCAAATGTACCGAAGTATCAAGGACAATAAAAGAAACCCATACGGCAGAAACTTTCAACCAATCTAACAACTTCGTCAAAGTCCGTCAAGTGTCACATGTCCAGTCCGTAGCTGACCACAACTCACTTACAGCACACATACACGTGTACAAAGCGCAAACAAAGAAACGTACTTGCGCTATATTCTGTATACGTACCGGTATACATTAACAGACAAAACGTACCGCGAGTTTTACAAACAATATACAAGTAAGAAAGAAAAACAACCAGTTCAGTATATTGAACTAAACGACAAATACATATATTTTATATCCAACAGAATTTGACAATCAATAAAAAATAACTTAATAATTTTGACCATGTTATGCAGTATACTATCACAGGGGCCTATTACAGCGTATTGAAGGAGAAGGGTTTGTATGTTATACTATCACAAGGGCCTGTTACAACGTAATGAGGGAGAAGGGCTTGTATGGTATACTATCACAGGGGCCTGTAACAGTGTTTCTGGGGGAGGACTTGTATGGTATACTGTCACAGGGGCCTGTTACAATGTTTCGGGGGGGGGGGGGGGGAGGGGGGCGGTGGGGGGGGTGAGGGGAGTAAGGCTTGTATGGTATACTATATCTAGTAAAGAGGTACAACGAAATATCGGAGAGAAATTCACTAATTTTTACATCTTTGGTACCAAACTCATTACAAATAAATTACCTAGAAGGTAAACATGACATGAATCACAACAGACTAAATTTCGGTCTTTTCGCTCACTGTGAATAATTCCCGGATGTAGCTATATCTGTCTGAGGAAATCAACTGAAAAAGCCGCTGGTAAGTATTTAATTCACTTTCAGGTGACATATACTTATATACGTATACAACTCCGAATGTAAAGTCTAAAGTATCAGTCGCCATTTTTTTTGGTAACACCAAAGGAGACTTTAATCATGTGTTGTAATGTGGTTCCTGTAATCCTTGACAAATATACTTTACTATGTGTTCCGACAGATTAACAAAAGACATTTATAACACTTTAAACATCAAAAGAAAGGAAACGAAAGAAGAAATTCAGGGTTGTATTTATTAGTAATATACAGCAGCTATTACAATAATGTCTTATAATTAACGATTTTTTGCCTTTCATATGTCGCACAATCTATCTTATGTCTTTGGTTTCCCCATTTATTTTTCTCACAGAACATTTTTTGACATATTTTCCAGCAACATTTCTTCTCATCGTCATCACAGACACTTATTAACGTGTAATTATACAACTGAAACGTGTTATTAACTTCGTACTGGCCACACTATTGTTTTTGATTTGCAATAATCCTATTATTTACGGACGTTTTATTGTTTCTCATAATTGCTTAAAGCTTTTCTAAAGAATATATCAAGCTGTCAACAGAACCTTCATTGAAACTTAAATTCGATGAAATTTAATGTGAACGAAAGAAAGCGAATTATGACAAAGCAGAATAAGACAAGGTGTTCCGAAAGAGTAAGCGTTTACTGCTTCATTGCGGGAGGACAGCTCTCATGTAAACACTTGTCAATCTGTAATAGCAAATTCACATTGTCAGGTGAGAACACGATAAATAACAACGGAACCAACGGCACCAACGAGCATCAAACACGCCCAACTTCATTTCGCACAAGGATATAGAATATTTCCTAACGATCATGATGACTTCCCCAAAACCTTCATCAAATGGCATAGCTCAAAGCCCTGTGTTGCGAGTTCATCAGTTGATGACTTCTTACAATAAAATCGTGACAATGGGAACACGACCTTGAATATCGAATTCACGGCGACATGTTAACACCATAGGTTGGCGACGCAGGCTTGTTGCTTTGTAGAAAAAGGAAATGCACAATAGAGCAATGAAAATCCTCACGCTTATCATACGGCTTGGTGGAAAACTAGTCATATTGGTTTCTTTGGAAGTAGAAGATTCTGTCGTGTACTTGATATCCAAATCTGCTGGGTATATACAATAGATGTTGTCAATTATGTAAAGACCATATGTCTGTCTAAAGAAACTCGATCATTTTCATGATTTCGTTCTCCGTATATTTCTACTTTGATATTACTTACATACTATACCGGGGATATCCTTTCTCTAGTATAAGTATGGAGGCCATACAGCTTAGGGTAAATTTCGTGGTATTTGTAACTGTTATAATGTTGTTCTATTTTTGATTATTTCAAAATCTGAAAACGTGTTTATTTTTCTTTATTCTCTGCGCGATTGAATCGTCAGATATTTTTTTTTCTTTTTGATGTCACCTTGAAATAAGATGTCTTTTCGTCCGTGTATCATACAACTTTAATACATTTATCATGTTACATAATTTAAACCATGAATAGTCGATAGTCTTCCAACATTCCGATTTTATCATCGATCTTTTCATTTTTTCTCACTGATCGTAAAAACCCCAAAAATACCAACAAATAAACATATGCACGTTTTACTATACAGTATAGCCAAATTACAAATTTAACTGCACCATACAGCTATGTCTTCATTCTGGGACTAGTCCGTAATGCCAAATGCCTAAATTTGGAAGCCTAGAAGACAACTGAGAACAATCCAAAGTGATCAAAAGAACCGTTTTCAGATGCACATTCTGTAGGTAGGTAATACGGCTGTTCTTTTTAGAATGAACATTAATATAAATTGATAAATGAGTTGACGTAACCTTGTAAATGCTAGCGGAGAAATGTCCTAAAACATAAAATTTGTTATTTTAACCAATGACGTGTGTGTTTCATAAACGTCAGCCATATACTACTTTTGTTTATCAGATAAATTGGATAAACTAACTTCCTCCCATAGTACGTCATAATCCTGAAATACGAGTCTTCACACGGACGGGATAATGAGGCTTATTAATTTTACTGTTTATTAGTTGCGAAAGCTCCATGAACAATTAGCGCGGAAAAATAATAAAAGTGTTTAATTATAATAAAGATATTCAAAGTAAGAATAAAAAAGACGTTTATATATATCATAAACGTCTTTTATGTTCCCTTCTGGCTTGATATATTTCTTATTTGGTAATTACGTCACTGACAGGACTAAATCATCTTACAGACCATGATTACATCTTGTTTATCAACATTTTTGGGGAGATGAATGGCCTGTCATACCTGGTTTGTAGCTTCCTGGAAATGCTCCTCCGTGAAAGATTTAAAATTATCTATTTCTGAATACATATTCATCTTGCCTCTCGCACTTTTACATCTTTAATGCCAAATTATCCCTCATTGTTGCTGTCACCGTTCATGTATTTCAAAGTTTTAACACAATACCTACCACAGGACACATTTATTTTACAGTGTCTGTTACGCAATTGCTGGCAGTTCCAAAAAAGAAATCAGAACTAATACAAAGCTAGAAGGAATGATTAAAGACGTCTATAAAAATAAAAACAGCCAATGAGCTTTGCTTTATTCTGTGTATATCAAGATACATCTATCATAAATATTACGAGAATAAATGAACAATTATTTACAGCTAGGTCCATTCACGTTTTCTCATAATCTTTTTCACGGTTTCATAGTTTAGATTCTCTTCAAAATATATATCCTAAATGTTAACTATATGCGTATGTAAAAGTTCACACGAATACACATATTTGTGGGTGTAGGAAGAACTGATAATTAATAATTAAAAACTCACCAACTGTTATCTAGTAATCATATTCTCTCGTTATACAGCGTAAATGGTGATATCTAAAACAGCTGTACATTTACGAATTAGTGGTGACATGTTTAAGCCAAAGGCTTGCTGCTCAAGAAACTGGAATCTTACAAGATAGACACTGAAAATCGTCACATTCATCACAAAGCTCTGTGGAAAATTGTATCTCTAGAAACTGGAATCTTACAAGATAGACACTGAAAATCGTCACATTTATCACAAAGCTCTGTAGAAAATTGTATCAGTTATACATGGTTGCACTGTGGGACAATTTTTTCTTCATTTTGACCGAATTAAGACCAATCCAACTAAGAAAATGTCTCCAGAATTAATTTATTGGCTCAATTATCATTATTACTATTATTCAATTTTCCATTTGTAAATATGTGTAACTACTATTTATCCCATGAAACATAATTGAAAAGATGTTATATTTGGTACACGTTAATATTTCCTAATGATATTTCCTA